AACCAGGAAATATACTACCCCATAATTCCATACCCGAGTATCTTCAGTGACATATATGGAACAGAATTGTCTTCCCTGTTGCCAATAGACATTTATCTTTCTTCTTTTTAAAAATATGTATTGATCCATTGACATACTATAATATTGACTCACTTTAAGTGCACACTTCCAGGGATTTGTAGTAAATTCACTGTTTTGTCCAATAAATCACCACAATCCAGATATAGAATATTTCCATTATTCCTATGAGATTTAGTCTACTTTAATCTGTTTCCACCCCCAGTTCCAGGTAGCCTCTAATCCACTTCATGTCTGTAGATTGCCTGTTCTACTGGAGAGTTCATGTAATTGGAATTACAGAATTTGGAATCTGCCAGGGCATGTTGGTTTTCCCATAGTGCCTTTGGATATTTCTTCATATTGTGATATGTATCCTTGTTTCATTGGTTATTATTACTGGAATAGTCCATTGTATGGATATGCCACATTTGTCTAGCCATTCATTAGTTGGTGGACATTTGCGTTGTTTGCACTTTGGAACTATATTATAAATAAAAGTGCTATAAACACATACCAAAAGTCTCTGTGTAGACATGTTTTTAAATTCACATTTCTTTTTGATGTATATCTAGGAGTGGAATTATTTATTGCATCATGCAGTAAATATATAGTTTAACTTTTCAAGGAACTACTAAATGGCTTGTAAGAATGACTCTATCAGTTTATATCCCCACCAGCAATGTGTCACGATTACAGTTCCTGCAGATCCTAGTGAATGTTTGTTACCAGGGTCAAACAAGCTCTCCTAAAACTTTGCAAAGAAAGCCTACCTACTCTGCTGAAATTAAAGGATGGATTCATAGTATGAACATTTCCATAGCATCTGGTAGAAGATCAGGCTCACAATTAAAGACGCTCGGGTGGTTCATGGTCCTTTAGGAGTGTTTTGTTTTTCACTGAGCTAAAGGCAAGGACCACCTAGAGGCTTGCTTGCTTTCTCAGCAGGATGGAGAAAGTAGGCAAGGGAACCACAGCAAAGACAGTTTCTCAAGAAAACGGTACAGAAGAAAAATAATAGTAGTGCCAGGTAGAGAAGCAAAATCTATAAAATCAAATTTTATTTTAGTAACAATGATGGTAGATTTAGGGAGAGTCTGAGTCTAGGACCTAGTTGAAATGGGTGGTGGAATTTCTAAAATCCAACCAACGGATAAATTTAATTAGATTTGTATGCTAACATGATAAATAGATAACAAATATCTCCCTAAATTAGATGGACCTCAGTATGTAAGGACCAGCACTTCCAAGGCTTGTTTTTCTTGCTGCAAAAACTTGAACAACATCCTAATATGGATAGCCTATAGGAACCTCCCCAGATCTCACTTGATCTTTCAAAAGTGGGGTGGCACAGGCGTTTAGAACAGTGATCAAGATGCCACTTGGGGCCGGCGCCGCGGCTCACTAGGCTAATCCTCCGCCTTGCGGCGCCGGCACACCGGGTTCTAGTCCCGGTCAGGGCGCCGGATTCTGTCCCGGTTGCCCCTCTTCCAGGCCAGCTCTCTGCTGTAGCCAGGGAGTGCAGTGGAGGATGGCCCAAGTGCTTGGGCCCTGCACCCCATGTGAGACCAGGATAAGTACCTGGCTCCTGCCATCGGATCGGCGTGGTGCGCTGGCAGCAGCGCGCCAGCCGCGGCGGCCATTGGAGGGTGAACCAACGGCAAAGGAAGACCTTTCTCTCTGTTTCTCTCTCTCACTATCCACTCTGCCTGTCAAAAAAAAAAAAAAAAAAAAAAAAAAAAAAAAAGATGCCACTTGGGATGCTTACATCCCAGATAGGAATACCTAGATTTGGGTCCTGGCTCCACTCCTGATTCCACTTTCCTGCTAATGTGCACCACGTAGTTGGGTCCATGCCCCACATATAGGAGATCAAAACTGAGTTCTCAATCCCTGGTTTTGACCTAGCCCAGCCCCAGCTATTTTGGATATTTGGGGAGAACCCCCAGATGAAACATCCGTGTGTGTGTGTGTGTGTGTGTGTGTGTTTGTGTGTGTGTCTGCCTTTCTTATAAATAAAATATTTTTTTAAAAAGGAGGTGTGCTGTAAGAATACGGCAGAAAATTTGTGTCAACTAAGCCACTTTATTCCCACCAACACATTCATTTCTACAATCATAGAATTCAGTGCTTTGTGGGCATCAGACACAGCATTTTATGCAATGTCTGGAGCCCTTTCTAGACCATTGATCAAATATTATTGAGAAAGAAACTTCTTGCTTTCTCAGCTGACAGTTTTTCCCTATTTTTCTTTTTTTGGTTTGATATGGAATATCTGAGTGTTATAACTATTAGCTATTCGGCACCATATTATAAATTTGAGTATATCATTAAAAATAATGGTTGCTTTGGGCATAAGGTAATCCTCCAGCTCTCTTGCACTGTCTATTGTTTGTAGAGCAAGTGTAATTAAAACATTGAAGATACCTGGGCCGGCGCCGCGGCTCACTAGGCTAATCCTCCGCCTAGCGGCGCCGGCACACCGGGTTCTAGTCCCGGTCGGGGCGCCGGATTCTGTCCCGGTTGCCCCTCTTCCAGGCCAGCCCTCTGCTGTGGCCAGGGAGTGCAGTGGAGGATGGCCCAGGTGCTTGGGCCCTGCACCCCATGGGAGACCAGGAAAAGCACCTGGCTCCTGGCTCCTGCCATCGGATCAGCGCGGTGCGCCGGCCGCAGCGCGCCGGCCGCGGCGGCCATTGGAGGGTGAACCAATGGCAAAGGAAGACCTTTCTCTCTCTGTCTCTCTCTCTCACTATCCACTCTGCCTGTAAAAAAAAAAAAAACATTGAAGATACCTTTGAACTTGTGATTTACACATGACTTCATCATTTTAGACTGGCTAAGTATGTCTTAAAAGGTACTTTTCCACCTCAACTGTCAGTGAGCATTAAGAGAAATAAGACTTTAAATTGATATTGTGGTTTTTTGGGGGTCTATCTCTGTTTTTTGGGTTTGTTTGTTTGTTTGTTTTGTGGAAAGCTTAAGGATGGGGTTCAGGTGATCTGGATTTGAATCCAGACTCTACTCTTTTGAGCTAGTGGGCTTGGTCAGAATAAATTCTTTGTTTCTCATTTCCCTCATCAGTAAAATGGGGATAATATATAAACCATTAAGTACATCTAATGAAACATATTAGTTTTTCAGTTACTTTCAACCAATAATGGAAAAATTTTGATAGAATCTGAGTTTTTCTTGCAAAATCAATGAACAATGCCCAGTTTTACTTTTAAAAAAGCACAGAAGCTCTACATTTACAAAATACTCCAACAATTTAAGAATCTTATTTCCAAATTGTGAAAGTATGTAGATATGTGAATCCCAATAACGTTATGCCTGCATCAGTTTGGGTAATACAATGACATAATTGTTAAGGGAGTATTCACAAACATTTGTTTTTAAAATGTCCTTACCTGAGTTCTAGTTCCGTTATAAAGCTCTTAACTTCCACTCATCCTAAATGGATCAGTAGCACCAAATATTGGCAAGGATCTTGAGTAACTTGAATTCTCATTCACTGAGGATAGGAACGTAATTTGTTACAAGCTCTTATGAAAGCTGTTTGTAAGTACCCACCAAAGTGAAGCGTAAGTGTACTTTATGAGGTGGCATTTCTACTTTTGGGCAGATACTCAACAAAAATAATGCTAATAAGAAACTCAAGTATGAGAATGCTCATAAACAACATTATTTGCATTAGCCAAGAACTGGAAACAACAAAAGGACAACAGGAAAAGGTTCATTCTCATGTTCCTTCCTTTGCCCCTTCTTTAACCCCATGCTCAGCTCCTGGCTTCTGGCTTCAGATTGGTGCAGCTCTGACTATTACGTCCATTTGGGGAGTGAACCAGCAGATGAAAGACTCTCTCTCTCTCTCTCTCTCTCTCTGCCTCTCCTCTCTCTCTCTCTCTAACTCTTTCAAATAAATAAATCTTTAAAAAAAAAGAACTCTATCATTTTTATCATTACTTTTCTGTAATTAGTTCTATGTACAATTTCAAAATTTTTAATTTTTGAAACTTGACAGGATAAAAAAACACCTAAAAATATAAGGTGATAGAATGACTTCAGCCTGATTTGTGCCTCCCACCCATTCAGCCCCAAATGAGGGGACGCCTTACCTGTAAAGGCAGGAAAATAGGGGAGGGCCAATGATTTCTCACTAGCATGAAATCTGGGCTGCACACAACTCAATTTGCAGTCATCCCCAGGAACAGACCTTGGGCTTCTGTGTGCCACTCTAGAAGCAGAGCTTTGTGATTAGCCTTGTCCAGTTCTTCATTTAGGGTAGGCACAGAGTAGAGTCAGGAGACTCCAAATGAGGTAAGTGCAAACCGGGGAACAATTCTGGAATGAATAGCAATCTGGGCTTGAATCTCAGCACCGCCCCTATTACAGATGGAAAGAGACACTTGATGAACCTTGTGTTGGAAGCTTCACATGAACTATTTCACTCGTGCTACTAAGAAAACATGAAGAAACGAGATGTTCTTCATTTTGCTGATGCACAGTGAGGAAAAAAAGCTCCAAGAGAACTGCTTCAAAGCAATTAGGGAGACGAGGGGGTATTGGCAGGATTTTATGTCACATGTTATTGAGGTTGACTTTGTCGAACATTTGATTCCGTGACAACAGCAAGCTCTGCTTGTAAGCTCAGTGTTGAGTGTGTGCCCTGGTTTATGATGAAGCTAGAGTAGCCTGCACTGTGTGGGTGGTGCTCTCTGGAAATCACAGTGTCAGTTCTGCTTTCCAGAAGACAAGGGTGCCAGAGCTCTTCCTGAGTGATGTGCTGTGAGGCCACCTACGGAGGAGGGAGACCAATGCTGGTTTTATTTGGTGAATTTCTGAGCAATTACTGAAATGTCATCAATTATTAGACAACTTGAACAATGATCAGAAAAGACATGCTTCTAACCCCTCATTCTTTTCTGTGTTTCCCTATGATTCAGGAGGAAGGATGCTGGCTTCTTATCCTACAAAGATCACCTGCCCGTGAGCCAGGTGGTGGTTGGAGATACCGACCGGCAAGGCTCAGAAGCCAAACTGAGTGTGGGTCCCCTCCGCTGCCAAGGAGACAGTAAGTTTGCCCAACATCTGGGGCCATGCTTTCTTAATCACATTCAAGTGGCATTCCCAGGCTCCTCAGAGGATGACAGAAAACAGACATTTCTGTAGTTCCTGCCGAAATACACGACACAAGCACAGCCAGATGGAGAGTTAGATGGACATTAGTATGTAGAGGAGGGCAACAGTTCTAGTCTCCAGTACAGGAGCTAGATTTGGGAATAAGATGCAGAATAACCATCTTTCTCATATATCCACATGTAACAAGTTAGACTACCTAAGTTTACGGTAATATAAATAGCAATGCTTATAGCATACAAGCAGCAGTCAACAGCTGTGATTCAACTGAGTGCTGCTGTTAATGCCATTAGCATGACTATTTATATCACCATAAACTCAGTTTATGGTGATATAAATAGTAGCATTATGGCTTAATGTATCATTGTAAACTTGGATTATGGTCATATAAAGTTTGACATTATTACTATCAAACTTCATCATCATCAGAGCTTGATGGTCCCTAGGAAACCAAAGACTGTTTCTGCAACTGTGCCTTGCCTGAAGGACTGGGCATCACAGAGAGGACTTTGGGGCTGCTAGCTTGGACAGTGGGAGGTAAGGGAGTTGGCGTTATGGTCCCACCTAATTAAGGGTACCATTAGGGTTTATGTTTTTGATACCCTTCGGTGTGCTTTATGTGCAGTCAGAGGGAAACGGGTGACAGGTTGCCATGGGGACTCTGCAATGAGCATCCTGGGTATCATTTTCCCTCTTCTTTTCTGCACCGTGATTTGGGTGACTCTCCTGGGAGTTCTAGACTTTTGCGATTATGTGCTAGGCACCAGGAGCCCCAGATTCTGCTCCCTCAGTTGCTGGCTTGCTGGGAGACCTCAGGCAAACCTCTCCATTTTCTCAGCTGTGGTAACGAGAATACCACCTGCGTCCCAACTCCTCCTGGGGAGACCATAAAGATTTTAGTGCCTGGATTTGGATTCCTCCAAGCAAAGCATTGTGTGAGATGGGATATTATTGCCACTTCTGTAAATCAACATAGAATTAGACCTACTTGATAATAAATTATTGCATCGACTCAAAGAGGTGTCCTAAGGAATGTAATGATGCATGCTTAACAGTTCACAAGTTAGTAAATCGAGGCTGTCAGCAATTAAGCAATGCAATGTTCCTAATACTAAAGAGAGATGCTGTTTGTACTGATTTTTCTCATGTTGAGACAATGAAAGTGCTCTCAGCAAAACTAAGATGGGTCAAAAAAAATCTTTCTCATGCATTTAGTGAACAATAATGCTTCAGGTTGAATTCTGTACAACTATGCAGTCAGAAAATTAATTTCAACTGCTTAAGAAAAACATTGACATAAAGTAGTAATATATATGCATTTTTATTAATTTGAAATGCAGAGTTATAGGGAAAGAAGGAGACAGAAAGAGAGAGATCTTCCATCTGCTGCTTCACTCCTCAAATGGCATCAAGAGCCAGGGCTGGGCCAGGCTAAAGCTCGGAGCCAGGAGCTTCTTCCAGATCTCCCACATGGGTACCTGGGCCATCTTTCACTGCTTTCCCAGGCCATTAGCATGTAGCTGAATTAGAATGAACAGCAGGGACACACTGGTGCCCATATAGGATGCCGACTATGCAGGCATAGGTTTAACTACCTTGCCACAAAGCCAGTCCCTAAATATGCATTTTTGAACAACTATTCTGAGAGATGACCTATAACGTTGCTGTAAAGTTAGTCAGGCTTTCATGAGTTGTCAAATGAAAATCAGTGTTGATGTATGCGTGCAGCTTAGCAATTCTAATGTCAAAGTTAGCTTTTAATTAGATACAGGGTTTCATGAAGTAATTGGTTAACTTAAATATTTATAAAAATTCCACTTATTGCAAAATTTTATTACCATTCTTAAGAAGAAAATTATAGGCGCCAGCGCCATGGCTCACTTGGTTAATCCTCCACCTCCAGCGCCAGCATCCCATATGGGCGCTGGGTTCTAGTCCCAGTTGCTCCTCTTCCAGTCCAGCTCTCTGCTGTGGCCCGGGAAGGCAGTGGAGGATGGCCCAAGTGCTTGGGCGCCTGCACCCGTGGGGGAGACCAAGAAGAAGCACCTGGCTCCTGGCTTTGGATCTGCGTAGCTCAATCCATAGCAGCCATTTGGGGGGTGAACCAACAGAAGGAAGAATTTCTCTCTCTCTCTCTCTCTCTATCTATCTCTATCTGTCAAATTAAAAAAAAGAAAATTGTAGCAAGATGAAATAGTATATGCTGGGTATATAGATGACTACGGTTAATATTAGGTTGTTGTCTTTTAATCAGTAAAACAGTACTCAGGAAGAATTTATTGTGGGCCCATAATTTGTCAAGGACTTTGTTAGATACTTTGGGGAATAAGGAAAAGATGCTCAAAGCAGGTTTAAGAAATGCACATTAAAAAAACTGGAAAACACAAAATGGCTTCTAGTTTAATATAATATTTTGTGTGATATAAAATGATTGCAACTGATGCTCAAGAAAAGAGAGATGGTGTATTTCTCTCACCCAGATTTTATTTTTAAAAAGAGAAAATAGGAGTAGTGACTGGTGCTGTATTTGTGTCTCTGTTCCAAGGCTGTTGCTCTAAGAATCAGTTATGAAACCCATTAATAGAACACACAGCAGCCTTACTCAACTGTCACTGTCTGATCTTGGTGTTCTCACAGTACTAGAGCTCCAGAGAACCTCTTCAGCACCGTCTTGCCTGATACTTCATAAAAACAAAACTTCTGTCCGTAATTGCCAGCAATTATGTGGAATACTTTTGTGTTTGTGAGACAGAGCAGTGACCTCTTTCCCCAGGCAGCTGAGAAAAGGTTTGACAGAGTGCTTGGACTGTCAGACAGCAGTCAGCACTTCGAGTCACAGGTTCCTTTTAAGAATGTTCTGACCTGGATGGATAATGTGACAGGTCTGCACCAGCAGCATTTCCAGTCATGCACAGTCCCCTGCAAGGCATAAGGCAAATATTAGCCTTTGTGTTTCACAAATGAACTCAATGCTCATTTGCAAATGGCATTTACCCAACAAGTTTCTGAGTACTCTTTTAGTCTTGGAAGGCTCCAGGGGCAGAGATGGAGCAGAGAAAAGAAATAGCTTTCTCTCCGCAAGGTTGGAGTTATTTTCCTGACTCATTGTCTTCCCTGAGTCACTTGCTGATTAAATTGAAATGTCTTAAAAAGAGCTCCTTGGAGTTTTAGCCCACCACGAGCCCCACCCACATCCATGACCAACAAAGCAATGATGAATAAAATTTTAAAAGCAGTATTAACGCATTGATCCTATTGTTTACAGAGATTGACTTACTTTGTATCATTGACTGGAATCTATTCATAACCATAGTTTCAAAAAAAATTCTATTGTTGAAAAATCTCTCTTTCTCTCCTTGAGGAGTTGAGTGATGACAGCTCTCAGAAGCTGTCTCTTGAATTAGGACCTCTCCTATCCCCTAGTTTCAGAGAATGAAACCATTTTTGTGGACTCTGCCCAACCATTTCGGTGGTTTCGGTTGATTTCATCATGCCTGCTGAGTTTCATTTTTACTTTGATTCATCTGAACTCATAGACCCATATAATCAAAATGCTAAAGAAAATCAGTGAGTTCCACTCAGGTCTACTGCCTCTGCCATATAGCACTGTGAAATGCTTATGCCTTTACAGGGCTTTTGTGTGTGTTTTTTTCAAATCTGTCCAAATGGAAACCTCAGATCTAAATGAAACTGAAAGTGTGACTGGTGATGGATGGTTTGCTAAGATAAAAAGTGCAGAGAAGTTACAAATTTCCCTTTAAAGCACAATGTACGTCTGTCCCTAGCAAGAAACAAAGAGTTATTTAAGGATCAAAAACCAACAGATATTGTTTCCAAATTTAAATATGTAATCATTCTGAAGGGGGCTATTACACTTTCATGGAATTAGTTCAAAAATAAAAGATTTCAATGTTTAGAGGGAGACATCATATTCATCCTATCTGTAAAGACTATGATTAATTGTAAGGATACAATATTTGCTAGATAATTGCTTTATTCTCAGCCATACACAGTAAGAATTTACCATAATCTCTCTTGGGAGATAGGGACTCTAAACAATTAATTAGGGGCAAGTTTGCTACAAAAGCAAATGATTTCAGGAAAGCTGGGTAGAAACGATTAGGAAAAATGTGTTACTCAAGACTTCTTCTGAGTCTTGCCAGAAGTCCACTCTGGCTGTCAGTGGTGCCAGGCAGAGCACTCAAGTCCCACTTCAAGTTTAAGATGTAAATTCAGTTTCTTAGAGCTTCAGTGGTAGCTCAGAGAAGCAGAAAAGAAAAGGCACAGAGGACGACACATGTGGTTCCTGAATATGTGGAGGGCAGCGGCAGCGGTGCGTGGGAAAGAAACAAAACTGGTGATGGCATTTTATCCAAATGGAGGTGGACATTGCATATTTGGGAAAGTGAACTTGTGTGCCACCGTAGTGGAAAGGCCAGGCTGTCTTCAGTTCAAGAACTGTACAAACAGGAGCACAGCCTGCCACTGGCTGCCAAGAAAGTCCAGGCAGTTCCCTGGGTCTACACAATCTCCTTTTTCCACACACCAAACACCTCCACTGCAAGTACAGATGAGTCCAAGGCCATGTCAGATATGCCCATGAGGACACCCAGGCCACACTATCTATGCACAAGCCTCTGAGTATGAAACACACAGAAGCTCTTAAAGGCTAGAGAAGGAGGGAGGAAGAGCTTCTCACCTGGGCTCGGGGTACAGCTTTCACTATGGAAAAGCAGGTACTCCCCAAGCTTTATTTCCTTTTTGCTTTACCACTTCAGGAATGGAAGAGACAAGAAAGGGATCAGGGACCCAGGCTGCAGGTGCTAAACCAGACCCCTTACATTCAGTTTGTCCCTGGATTCTTCCAACATCCCATGTGAGGTGGTGTCCTCAACTCCAGGGCATCTAGGAAGAAAGAAAAAACAGGGTTCCTGG